GCTCAAAATTTGGGCCTAAGATTCTAGTATCCGGACCCAATAATAAATTGGACCCCCATTTAAGACCGCTCTCTACTAACGTCACATTTTTATACCATACAAATTGGATTTTTTTCCAATGTAGCTTGACCCCCCTAGGAATGTGACTTTATTTGCAAATGATACCTTAATTGGACCCAAAAATTTCTCGCCTTATCAAATTGAAACGAGGAAAATATATATGTACAAAAAATGCACAGTTATAATGAGCCGAGGATAAAAATTGAAATTTACGAAACCTAAGTTTGGTAGTTAGTAAGACCCAAAAAAATAGGGCAGTTTTGATGAAAAGTCAAATTTTGAATTGATATTAGAATAATTTTATGTATTATACAGGTAGAAAATTATTCAGCAATATAAATTGGACCTTTATATATATAAGGCCCAATTTGAATCATGAACATTAGTTTCTACTCTTTCTTTCTTCTCATCTTCGCAATGGAGTAATGAGGCCTATTTATAAAATTGATGAATGAGGAAATATAAAGAAAAATTTTCAGTCATCAGGTTAATAAACCCCGGAAGAAGTTGGTCATAAATTACCGTTGGAGCGACGCAATTGGCTCTCGTATATATATATATATATATATATATATATATGTATATAAGCGATTCAGTGGAGAATTAGTCTCGCCTCGAATGTGCTTGCCATTCAGTTTTGCCCTTGGTATATATATTTATATTTGCAATGCTCACGCGTACATCCATTTCATATGCCAAAAGCAAAGCGGTTTCGTAACCTCCGTTGCATACACATATATAGTCCTGACTATTAAAATTGGACGATTAAATAGAAAACCGTTATCATTGCCAGCCGAAAAAATAAAATTGTCAAGTAAATCACTTGTGTTATAGTTGTGCATTTTAAGCAGTTGCAGCACAAATTTTTTTTTATTTTTTACTTATTTTACACTAAAAATAATAAATAATTATTTTGTAATAGTAAAATAAAATGTAATAAAAAATTTATTCTTTCCCCTCCAATTATTTTGTTTTTTATTTTCTTTGCCTTTATTTCTCTTATCTTTCTCTATTTATTTCTTCTTCTTCTTCTTCTTCTTCTTCTTCTTCTTCTTCTTCTTCTTCTTCTTCTTCTTTACCTTATCTTGTTCTTCACCTTTTCCTTTTACATTTTTACTTCTCTTTCTCGTTTTTCTTCTTTATTTACTTTCTTCTACTCTTTGCCTTCTATTCTTTCTTATCATTTTTGTTTTTATTTTCATTTTCTACATCTCTTCCAGTTATTTTCTATTTCTAATCAGGACATTTGAAATTTTTTAAAATTATTTTTATGGTTCAAATGATTATCAACAATTTAATAATTTAATTATAAATGAATAAAATTTAAACATACTAGCGCCACTGACAGCCTACATGCGTCTCCGTTATTTCTATTCTTTGTCCATTCAATTCAATTTTCTATTTATATTTTATAATTTATTACAATTATTTTATTACATTTAATAAATCTCATTTTATTTCAAATAAGCGCGCGCTATTTTGACCTAGGCCAATCAGGTGATTTCAACTCAATATAGGTTATGTTCGTTTCTGATTTATAATTCTCGTCAACTACCGCACCCTGCTCTAGGAAAAATTTTGTAACTTTATAGTAACTTTTAATTTTAACTATAAAGTCACTAAATTTTTACTAGAGCAAGGTGCGGTAGTTGATGAAAATTACGACAAGGTTGGTTTCCATTGTTCCCACTCGCTATTTGTCATAATTCTCGTCAACTACCGCACTCTGCTTTAGTGAAAATTTAGTAACTTTATAGTTAAAATTAAAAGTTACTATAATATGTCATTAAATTTTCACTAGAGCAGGGTGCGGTAGTTGACGAGAATTATGACAAATGGTGAGTAGGGATTTTAGCGATTGGGGACAGTGGAAACCAACCCAATAATTTAACTGCCAGATGACATTTGTGAAGAAACAAGGTTGGGAAGCAAGAGCCTAAAATTTGTTCGTCTAAAGCAAAGTTGGGTAGGATTGAAATTTTGTCCAACAATAATTTTTGGAAAATATAAAAGGTTCATTTTGTATTGTAAGAACAGCTTAAATAGTTACACTTTTCGGAAAATTATTGTTGGACAAAATTTCAATCCTACCCAACTTTGCTTTGGACGAACATATTTTGGACACTTGCTTCCCAACCCTGTTTATTCACAAATATCATCTGTCAATTAAGATATTGGGTTGGTTTCCATTAGTGAGAATTAAGTGACATTATAGTAACTTTTAATTTTAACTATAAAGACACTAAATTTCCACTAGAGCAGGGTGCGGTAGTTGACAATAAAAAATGCTGTAGTGAAAATTTAGTGACTTTATAGTAACTTTTAATTAACAATAAAGTTACTAAATTTCCACTAGAGCAGGGTGCGGTAGTTGACAATAAAAAATGCTGTAGTGAAAATTTAGGGACTTTATAGTAACTTTTAATTAACAATAAAGTTACTAAATTTTCACTAGAGCAGGGTGCGATAGTTGACGAGAATTCTGACAAATGGGAACTTTATCGAGTGTTGACAATGGAAACTAACTTTGTCGTAATTTTCATTAACTACCGCATCCTGCTCTAGTAAAAATTTAGTGACTTTATAGTTAAAATTAAAAGTTACTATAAAGTCACTAAATTTTTCCTAAAGTAGGGTGCGGTAGTTGACGAGAATTATGAATCAGAAACTAACATATTAAGTTGAAATCATCTGATTGGCCCAAGCCAAAATAGCGCGCGCTTATTTGAAATAAAATGAAATTTATTAAATGTAATAAAATAATTCTAATAAATTATAAAATATAAATTAAAAAGTAAATTAAATGGACAAAGAATAGAAGTAACGAAGACGGACGAAGGCCGTCAGAGGCGCTAGTATGTTTTTAATTTTCAGTGAATTTTGACTGAATTTCAGCAAAAAAATGTTACTAAAGTGATTCAATTACTAAATTTCAACTATTTTATCAATTTTACTGATTCGAAACAGAATAAAATTTTAATACTATTTTTATTTAAAAATTACTCCAAATACGCCGAATACTAGCATATAGAAATATAGACATGAAAATAATAATAAAAAAAAAATATGAAGACAATTAAAATGTCATCAAGGCTGAGGGGAGAGACAATGATGAGAGAGTCGTGAACTTGAAAGAAACGAGTCACGACGGAATATTTCTCCTATATAGAAGAACGACCAAGAGTTGTTGTTGATCGCAAAGGAACAAGTCTATCTCAAGTCTAGGTTATCACGAGCAACATCTTCGAAAACGGTATACGTTTCAAGATTTCCAAGGAAGATGATCAACTCAGAATCGCAAATCACTCGGAAAGACCGCGTCTAACATCACATTGAGAGAAAGGAAAAAGTCTCTCTAAAAAATATATTCTGTATTTTTATATAATAAAAGACAACTCTCGTATAATATTTCAAACTTTTTTTTTTTTTTTTACCCCCGCACAACTTTTTTTTTCCCCCTCGGAAAATTACCCTACGAAAAGATCTGATCTATTATTATGAGATATTAAATAGAGGAGAAAGTGTATGAGTTTAGTTTGAATGAAAAAAAAAGAAAAAAATTTCAATGCCAATGTGAAGGTTGCTCACATTCCAACGACAACCATTTAATGTGGGAGTGGCAAGAAACGAGGTGTAATTTTGTCTTCAACCCTCATTTACATTTTAAAAGGCATTTTCATACCTTGTACATATATATTTTTTTTCAATATACTTTACACGTTTTAATATTAATATTTTTTTTTCAAATTTAAATTATAAAATTCTTTAAAAGTTTTTGTTAAAAAAAAGAAAAAAATTTGTATTCATCTTTTATTTTATATATAATTTTGTTATAATAAATTTTATTATACGAAAATTATTTATGGCAGTAAATTTGTTTTTTTTTCTCTTAAAAGTAAAATAACTTGTTGTACAATAACGAGGGAAAGTGATTTGGAAGTGAAAAGTTTTAAAACCTATTGCCGCAGGAAAAATTTGTAGACAATTTTTTATTATAGTCACTTACTGAAAATCATCATAACAAATTGAAATATAATTTTGTAGTAAAATGAGAATTTAATTGACGTTTTCTTACATAATTAATTATGTTTTTAAATTATTTCAATAATAAAACAGAAGTTTAATCGCCCACGAACTGATCCACTCGATTTATTCCAAACTTTATTATTATTACCTTTCGATAGCAATAACTGTTTGCACTGTGTGAAATATTTCCCCATAAATTCCTTACTATAAATGTAATAATTCTTTCTTCAAAGAAATTGTTTTACTTCAAGTTTTTAATGATAAAACAGATGCAACTTTTTTAATTCTATTCTTATAAAATCAATAATTAATAATTGATGGTAGCAAATTAGACTTTCGAATCTAAATTCATTTTTTTTAAATTAATTAATCATATTTTTTTTGTTTTAGACAAAATAAAGAAAATTTTATGTTTCATATATACTTTGAGTGTGAAATTAAAAATGCTAATAAATATATGATATCATTCTCGAAGAAAAAGAGAAGGTGACGTAACTCGAACTAATTGTCCGTTATTTATATTATATATACCTGAGATATAAAGACATGAATATTAATGAAATTGTTTCTTTTTCATATTTTAAATGCGAGTGTGTATTATTTTCACTCCTCAACTGCTGTTTTATAAACTGTAACGAATTAATAAAGTAACATAAAATTATTCGTGTTAAAAAGAGAAATTCAATTTAATTGCACACGAAACGTAATATGAAATAAAATTACGAAGAAAACTATATATATTTAAGAAAATTCAATATTGAATTTAAATATTCTATTATCAAATACTTGATAAATATAAAAAAGTAATATTTTTATTTATTTTTTTAATCGAACAATTGAACCATTGTTTATAAAAGCATATAAAATGACTATCTTTTAGTGACACTAACAGCCAATTGTTTATTCTGTTATAGCGACAGTGGCGATAGCAAACACAGTGCAAATCGAATGTGCGAGCGAGTCGATAATCGTCCACATATCAACGGAGGGTAATACTGAATTTCATGGTCTGGTTTACCCCAGGGGATTGTCTAAAAATAGCTCCTGTCTTCAGGAGTACAGAAATCAACCAGTCCCCATTACCTATAACTTGCCTCTCAGGTCCTGCAACACCATGCCCACCGAACTGGTAAGTTGTGAATTTTTTTTTTCTTTCATTTTCCATGTCATTTGCATTTACTTAAAATATTCCCGAGTTTATCATACGGGTTTATTGCTCGATGAAAGTCGTCGCGTTGATATTTTACATTCGCCAATTCCGACAAATCGTGACTGTGAAACGAAAATTAAGCAAAAAGTATATAGCATATATGCACTCGATGAAAAACCGGTGTAAAAAAAATCGCCATGTAAAGAGAAATAATATTAAACGTTGAATTTTATGTTCTAAAGTCATGTGTAGAATGGGAGAACTGGATAATTTTGTTTGTTTGGTTATGAGAAAAGAAAAGGTATAAATAAAATGTGGTGATATGGTTACTTGCACTGTACTCCTTTTGCGTAAGTGTAACATCTTTGTTTTTACTACGATGCAAGAATACTATCCTCTGGATGTTACTGCGCAGCCTTATTATGTAATGGTTGCTACTGCGCATGTCTACTACCTGCTGGATGTCACTGCGCATCCTTATTATGTAATGGTTGCTACTGCGCAGTCATAAGTTGCATATAGTAGTACTGCGCATGTATACTATCTTCTGAATGTTACTGCGCATGTATACTAGCTTCTGGGTGTTACTGCGCATCCTTATAATGAAATGGTCGCTACTGCGCATGTTTACTATCTTCTGGATGTTACTGCGCATCCCTATTATCTAATGGTTGCTACTGCGCATGTCTACTACCTGCTGGATATCACTGCGCATCCTTATTATGTAATGGTTGCTACTGCGCAGTTATAAGTTGCATATAGTAGTACTGCGCATGTATACTATCTTCTGGATGTTACTGCGCACGTATACTAGCTTCTGGATGTTACTGCGCATCCTTATAATGAAATGGTCGCTACTGCGCAGTAATAAGTTACATATATCTGTAATGCGCAGCCATATTATGTACTTGTTGCTTCTGCGCAGCCGTACAATGAGCTGACTGCTACTGCGCAGCCATATCTGATTCGCGAACTTGCTGCATGAGATAAAAAAGGACACAGCCATATCTCTATCCTTTTCCATCTCATGTATAAAGTTTACTAACGCAAATAAGCGAACCTTAGGGCTATACTGTATATCAAAATTTATTTCCATTTTGCACTGCAACCAGTCTTGGAGTCATTCACAAATCATTAAAGAGAAAGGGAAGAGAGAGAGAGAATTTCGAAAAATATGTATCAATAATTGAAAAAATTGATTGGAGGAAAAAATATAATTTTCGTTGATCAAACATATATTATAAGAGTTATAGGATAAATGGTGAAAGCAATATGGTAATCGGTGCAGACTTTGGCGTGACTATAGTATCAACCGGCAATAAAATCGTGTTTAACATAAATAACCTAGACGTATTATATACACGTCACCATAGTGTCTCAAGGTTCGAGAAATCCCTAATCGTCGTTCATGAAACAATGAGAAATTGAGAGATTTAGAAGATGGATAGGTTCCAGGAAGTGGAACATTTGCTTCTCGACAACGGCGGCGATTTGGAATTAAAAAAAAACAGCTTCAACGATAGTAGACGTTATTGCATTAGATACAACGGCAAAACCAGATTTGCAATAACTGTTTTCTAAATCTAATCAGCTGTCACATATTCAAAGACCTAACGCTATTTTATCATTATAGGAACATTATTCGATTATAAGAAACAGAAAATTGAGAGCTGTTAAGAAATTAAATTAAAAATAGGAGAAAATAATTTGCCTAAATTAGTGGGAAACTAGATTTGAATATTAGAAATAGATGATAAAAAGAGAAAGAAACGGGATTTGGAATTTTAATAATTAAGAACGTGAGAATAATTGTAAAATTCGTTAGTGGCACAACGAAAAAACAAAAAGAAAGGAAGGACATTGGGTAATATTTTTTAGGTACTTTAAATATATCATTGGCAACAGAATCTTTAGAAGAGAGGGCAATGCACCGAAGAATGGGATTCGTATATAATGGATGACGGAAAAGATATGGAAAAGATTAGAATTGTGAGAACAGCTCCCACACAACATCAAGGAAGTTCTTTTTCAAGACAATAATGTATCCCTCTCCGAAAAGTTCAATTTTTAGGAAGAGATCTTTATCAAAAAAAACAGTATTATTCCATTTGATGGGGGAATCTAATTTTTTCTCATTCTTATCTTGCTCTTGGCGCCTCCGTTAGCTCCATTACCAGCGAATGAAGGAAAGATAAGATGCTAAGTGATACCGCCTCTGCAATATAACGTAACGCCATGTAACAACATTACAAGGTTCACCGATACTTGCAGACTCACACTCTCTGGGGGCTGTAAATCGATGTGAAGATAGCGACACTGGAAAATTAAATGCAAGTGTGTGAAAATGAAGGGTATTGCTTCCTCTACCCATAACTGGACCGTTATGTGACCGGACTATTCTTCGTCCTTAACGGATATAACAATTTCACCTTTGGGGTTAGATAAACATTTCAGAGATTCGATAATCATTCCCTCTTCTATATAAATTCCCTTTTTGCTTTGTTACACAGTTTTCTTGAAAGGATCAAATTGCAACCAATTGCTTCCAATATCAAAATATAATTTGATCCAAATATTGGGATTCGTTGCATTTTTGATCCTTTCGAGATTACAGTGATATGATAAATTATAAATTATCTCCCGTTTGTTTTTGTTAATGATCCAAATTGTTTGTGATAAATTACCATTTACCGTTATTCCCTGGACATTAATTATTCGATTCATTTATTGTCTCCATTGTCAAGAGAGAGGAATGTTTTCAAAGTCTGCTTTATATTCCTTTTAATTAAATGGCAATTTCCATTCCTGCTCGAAAACCTGATCTTGAACATCTCCTTAAGTTTACAACTTTTATATTTACAAGTTTCATGCTATACTTGTTATTCAGCATCTTTAACATCTTCAGCTTCTGATGAAAACACGACTTTACACTTCACAAGACATACCAGAACATTCGTATAATATCCTGCCTTACATGCTAATCCTTTCTACACTCAAAACATTGTTAATAGCCATTATATAAAGCAGCGTGTGTTTGCATGATGATAAACCTGTTTATGGAATCATTAACTACAGTAAACAAAATAATATGAAACATCCGGAGGAATTTAAAATGTAATTACAAAAATAGTACAATTAAATTCCTAATGTATAGTTTTATTTAATTTTGAAAAAGGTTTACAATGAAGAAAGATAGATGCGGTTGAGTAATAGTAAAGATAAAGAAAAGATATATATACAAAGCGGTTAAAGGACATGTAGGAAGTAAAGCCGATGAAATATGAGTGGAATTGAGCTGCAAAAGGAGCAAGAGAACTTTGTAGTAGGTGGAATCGGGATTGAAATAGGATACCTGTATTGTAATGGTAATGACAATTTTCAAAAAAAAAATATGCGATTTATTGCATAAGTTAAGGCTTATTTCTCTCGTAGGGCAAGAGCCAGGTGTGAGTAATGGAGAGCCAGAGGCTCAAGAATATAAAGGAGCCGGAGGATAAGGAAGGAGGAACATAAATACACGATTTAAACCCTGGATTTGTAAGAAATAATAAGAAACCATATTAATTAATTCAAAATTTTGTACCAAAAACTTCTTTGATAGAAAACAAAATCTTGTTTATTAGTTTAAATTCAGTAAAAGCTGGACAGTATCTAAAGTTGCAAGTTTATAATCAGGAGGATACATGATAATCTTGATGAAAGGAGGCTTGGGAAAGGTGGTGTGATTCGCTGGCATAAATAATGTTCCTTGCATATATATCTATATGTCATGTGCAAAGGGACATTTACCTTAGGCTTACGAATTGCCTTCTCGAGAAGAACGAATTGTTCCGCAGACTTTAGACGTAATGCGAGGTCACGCAGAGAGTCGCTCTATGTATGGGCGATCCTGAGGTCACGGTGGGCGTTTCAAATGCCGTGGGCAGTTTTACCTTCGAGGATTGTTATTTACACATATTCTCTTTGCTGAAAATAAACCAAGAGAAGAATAATTTTTTACAAAATAACTAAATTTTTTTGGTATTGTTAATAATTTTTGAAAGGAAAATTGCTACTACAAACGAATCTTCTTTTTATGTTACGCAGATGTAATCTTATGGTATCCAATTAAAGCCTTTTCCTGATATTCTCGATTTCGTTTTTAAGTGCTTTGCAAAAAAAAAAAGAGTAAGCACTCGAAAAAAAAAATTCAGAAGCGATAAAGAGAGGAACTTGTTGGCAATAACCATCTTCTTTAATCCAAGAGGAAATATCAAACTGATTAGCAATTTATAGTGGAGCAATAAGGAAAGAAAATATAGATGAATGAATGCAAGTTTATTTTTTTTCGGGATCATTAAATATTTGAAATTGGGAATTAATTGAGTCGATGATAACTAAATAACGGATGGGTGATTAGTAATTCTTGAAATGTGAAATTTTCTCCGAACGATTCCTTTGTATATGAGTGAAGAAACCAAAGGGTGCTATTACCAACGTGAAGATGAACGGTTCTTAGGGTAGATTATTGCCAACTAAAAGCCCGCTTCTTGGAACGAATTCTCTCACGCGCGCGGGCTACGATTAGCGAGGAATGGTTTAGTTACACTCTCCCTTTGCCGCGAAGCGAATCGTGGTACCGAGATTCGATATTTCCACCAAAGAAGATAATTATCTTTGTGAATGCTATTCTGCACTGAATTGTCCAATTGCATCAAAATGATAAATTTACAAAAATTGAATTTGAATTTTCAGATTACTTTAGAAAATATCTGGATGAGGAAACTGATTTTTTCATCCTCCAGTGGATATTGTGTACTGTTAGCTTATTAAATTCTTAGCAGGAAGTGTGAAGTACTTCCATTTTCGCTGGCAGGCTGCTCTCTTGCTTCCGTTAAACTGTTTATCTTAATGTGCGTTAAAAAGTTGAGCAAGCGCAAAGACAATTATCTTTCTTGGCAATTTCCTCTTCTTTTTGCACCGAGGTTAAGTTCCGGGAT